TATTTTTAGTTGTCCGATTAATGTCTTTCTAATTTTAGTAGAGACGGGGGTCTCACTCTTGCTCAGGCTGGCCTCGAACTCCTGAGCTCAAACAATCCCCCCGCCTCGGCCTCCCAGAGTGCTAGGATTACAGGTGTGAGCCACCTCACCCGGCCCAACAAACTTTTAAAGAAAAAGTAATACCCATGCTACACGATCTCTTCCAGGATAAAGAAGGTGTGGCCACCATTCCAACTCATTTTATGAGACCAGCCTTTCCCTGATACCAAAACCAAAGACATAATGAAAGGAGAGCAATGTAGATTAATATCATTCTTGAACACAGATGCAAAAATCTTCAACATACTATTAGCAAATTGAATCCACAATACATAAAATATAACACAACACGACCAAGTGTGGTTTATCCTGAGAATAAAAAACTAGTTCAAGTTTTTAAAATCAGAGTGATTCAACACTAATTCATAAAAACAAATTCAGAATACAAGGTTACATTTTTATCCTCTTGAAGGACATAGTCAGGAAAACTTATAGCTAACATCACATGTAATGGTGAAAGACTGATGCCTTTCCCTCTGTGATGGGGAATAAGGCAAGGACAAAAACTCTCAGCATTCCCATTCAATACCTCGCTGGAAGTCCCAGACAGTACAATAAAGCAAGGAAAAGAAATAAAAGGCACGCAGATTGGAAATGAAATCATGATAAAATGTCCCTATTTATGGATGACATGATTGCTATGTATGATAGCCTTAGGAAATTATGAAAGATTTCCTAGAACTAATAAATGAATTTATCTAGGATGCTGTATACTAGGTAAATGTTAAAAATAAACCAATCATAATTTTTGTTTTCATTTTAAAACATTAATTGAGGGGGTACAAGTGCTTTTGTTACATAGATACCTTGTATAATGCTTAATTCAGGGCTCATGGTGTGCCTGTCACCAGAATAGTGCTCATTATACCCAACAGGTAAGTTTTTATCAAATTGCCTCCCTCCCAACCTCCCCTTACTTGGTTTCTCACGTCCTCTATAATGCCTTGTGCCCATGTGTACCCATTGTTTAGCTCCCACTTATTAGTGAGAAAATGTAGCGTTTGGTTTTCCATTCCTGAGATACTTCACTTAGGATAATGGTCTCAGGTCCCATCCAAGTTGCTGCAAAAGACATTATTTCATTCCTTTTTGTGGCTGAGTAGTACTCCATAGTATACATATATAACACGTTTTCTTTATCTGCTCATCAACTCATGGGCACTTAGGTTGATTCCACACTTTGCAACTGTGAATTGCGCTGCAATAAACATTCAAGTGCAGGTGTCTTTTTGATAAAATGATTTCATTTCCTTTGGGTAGATACCCAGCAGTGGGATCTCTGGATATAATGATAGGTCTACATTTATTTCTTTGAGGAATCTCCATACTGTTTTCCATAGAGGTTGTACTAATTTGCAGTCCCATCAACAGTATATAAGCATTCCTTTCTCTTCGTATCCATGCCAACATCTACTGTTTTTTGACTTTTTAATCATGGCCATTCTGATAGGGGTAAGGTCGTACCTCACTGTGGTTTTAATTTGCATTTCTCTGATGATTAGTGATGTTAACCGTTTCATCATATGTTTGTTGGACATTTGTCTATCTTCCTTCAAAACTTTCTGTTCACGACTTTTACCCACTTTCGGATGGGATTGTCTTTTTTTGCTTGCTGATTCATTTGAGTTCTTTTTAGATTCTGGATGTTATTTGTCCTTTGTTAGATGCATAGTTTGCAAATATTTTCTCCCATTCTGGAGGTTGTCTATTCACTATGGAAATTATTTCTTTGGCTGTGCAGAAGCTTTTTAATTTAACTAAGTCCCATTTATCTATTTTTACTGTTGCTGTATTTGTCTTTGGGTCTTAGTCATAAATTCTTTGCTTAGGACGCTGTCTAGAAGAGTTCTTCCTATGTTTTTCTCTAGAATTTTTATGGTTTTGTGCCTTAAGTTGAAGTCTTTTATCCATCTTGAATTAATTTTTGTATATGGTGAGAGATAGGGATCCTGCTTCATTCTTCTGCATGTGCCTATCCAATTTTCCCAGCACCGTTTATTGAATTTTCTGAGCATATGTTATTGTCTGCTTTGCTGAAGATCAGTTCTTTGTAGGTAGGTGGTTTTATTTCTGCATTCTCTATCTATTCCATTGATCTATATCTCTACTTTCTTACCAGTACCATTGCTCTTTAGGTTACTATAGCCTTCTAGTATAATTTGAAGTCAGGCAATGTGATGCCTACAGATTTGTTCTTTTTGCTTAAGATTGCCTTGGCTATTTGGGCCCCTTTTTGGTTCCCAATGAAGCTTAGGATTATTTTTTTCTAGATCTGTGAAATATGACTAGGGGATTTTGACTGGCATTGTGTGGAATCTTTAAATCACTTTGGGCAGTCTGGACATTTTAATTATGTTGATTCTACTAATCCATGAGCAAGGGATGTCTTCCCATTTGTTGGTGTCACCTGTGATTTCTTTCATCAATCTTTTATACTTCTCCTTGTCGAGATCTTTCATCTCCTTGGTTAAGTATATTCCTAGGTTTTTTATTTTCCTTGTAGTGATCGTGAATGGTACTGAACCCTTCATTTGACTCTTGGTTTGACTGTTATTAGTATATAGAAATGCTACTGATTTGTGGACATTGATTTTGTAACCTGAGACTTTGCCGAATTTATTTTTCATTTCCAGGAGCCTTTTGGTGGAGTCTTTAGGCTTTTCTAAATACAAGATCATATCATCAGCAAACAGAGATAGTTTAGCCTCCTTTTTCCTGATTTGGATGCCCTGTATTTCTTTCTCTTGCCTGATTGCTCTGGCTAGGAATTCCAACACAATGTTTTTGGGTTTTTTCAGATTTATTTATTTTGTTTTGTTTTATTTTTTTATTTCAGCTATGTTGACTAGAAGTGGTGACAATGAGCACCTTTGTCTTGTTCTAGTTCTTAGCGGAAATGCTTTCAACTTTTCCCCATTCAGTATGATGTTGGCATTTGGTTTGTCATATATGGCTTTTATAATTTTGAGGTATGTTCCTTCTATGACTAGTTTATTGAGGGCTTCTAATGATGAACAGGCACCGGATTTTATCAAATGGTTTCTCTGCATCTGTGTGGATGATCATAGGGCTTTTGTTTCTGTTTTTGTAGTGAATCTCACTTATTGATTTGTATATGTTGAACCATCCTTGCATCCCTAGGGTAAAACTCACTTGGTCATAGTGGACTATCTTTTTGATGTGCTGTTGAATTGCATTTGCTAGTATTTTCTTGAGGATTTTTGCATCTCTGTTCATAAGGGATATTGGTCTATAGTTTTCTTTTTTTTTTTTTTTCTCCATTGCACTTTTATTTGAATGTAATATTTGGGACAATTATCCAAAAGGGATGATAATTGCCAATTTAATCTGAGGTCATAATAAAACAAGCAACAAAACAGTGTTTGGGATCTCAGTTTCTCACCCTTATCATCAAGACTCACTGCCTCCCATCATCAATATTTATTGAGCATTTACAGTGTACTAGGCACAATAGAACATACAGAAAACATTGTCCCTGCTCTTGAGGAGCTTACATTCTAAAAGAAAAAAATACACCTTTTTTTAAATGGCATTTTTGTTTGGTGTTTTCTGCAAAGTACTGAGGAAATAGTCTGTAGAGTGAGCTTTGGGTATAACTTAGCCCCATCATTATTTAGAGAATAGAAGAAGAGAAAGAGGAAGGATTTTAAAGGCAGACAATGACAGACCATTCAGGATAGGTAGAGCTTAAAGGGAGATAAACACAATCTCATCAACTAAGGAGATTTGCTGCAGTAAAGAGGATGAGGGAAATAGTTTGTGGGATGCAAGCAAAGGAAGCAGGGTATCTTAGACTTTGAATGGAGCCAGAAAGATCATGTGGCCTTTTCTCAAGTACATGGCCACCAAGTAGGAATGGCTGGTGACAAGACAGAAGGATAAAAAAGGAAGGTAATCTTGTGCACCTGACAAATAGAATAAAAGGTCAAAATTGAAGGCAAGCTGTAAGACTATCAAGAAATTCTTAAAAACCAAAAGTTATTTGGAAGCACAGAACTTACAGTTAATGCTACCCAACGTCATGATGGCCCAGAACATTGTTGCTTCCTAAGTTAGAAAATGCCATATGCCAAAATTTTAAATGGAACAGATTACTTTTTTCCAATCAATCTCCCCCTCCCCCAGAAAAAATAACAACTCATTTTTTGGGGGGTTGGGAGGAGGAGAGGGGAACATGGGACATGGTTGGAAACAGTAGTTATATTAGTAGTATTTTTGTTATGATAAACTTTGTCTTTAAACTTGGTAAAAGCCCATTAGCTGTCAAGAGGGAATAAGGAATAAATTTCCAAAAATGTACAATTTCCTTTAGAGAAGTTTCAGAACCAAAAGACTAATTTACATGAAAAGCTGTAGAGAAAGTAGTTGAAAAGTCCATTCATAAAACTTTTATTCCACTTACATGAACTTAATACACGTGTTCTTAACAATTATGCTTGGATTGTTCATGAAAATCTCATAAGACATTTAAACAAAGCTAGCCATCATCTCAAATTATTTCCCTGTTAACCATTTTTTACAGCACATGCATGTTAGACAAGTATCAAAAAAAAAAATCACAAAAGCAAAAAACCTAAAAAAAGTTAAATACATGGGTTTTTTTGTTTTACTGCTATGTTTGATATGCACGAAGTAATGGGTATCAAGCAATTCATTTTACTGCATCTTTACTTTTACATTTGTTCTTAGGTTGCCTAAAACATTTAAATACAAATAAAATGAGTGTAGCAAAATAATGAAAGCAAACAGCAGGTAACTTTACAAAAAATGGAATGTGAACCGTTTCTGCCCTTATCCAGAGTAAATTGGGTCACAATTTTGTCTAAAGGAACACTTCTGCAGCTGTAGTCAAAGGTGTGCACATTGAGATTGAGTATTCTACAGATACACATGGTTTAAACATGTAGTATCCATGACATATCTGTTTCTACCACAGCCTTGTAAGTGCTCCAAACCTTAAAAGTACCCACAATAACTACACCTGTGACCGGAACCAATTATCCCTTTTATCCCCCACCAGGACAAACCAATACATAGGCAGTTTTCTTTGCTTAGACATGGAAGCAGTTTTAACATTGGCCCTTGTGAAGCCACAATGTACCAAAAGTACTATGCCGAACATTTATAACTTGTATAAAAATTCCACATCCCCATATTGGCCACCTCAAGATGAAAACAGATAATTCCCTAAATGTTAACTGGCTCTACTCCCCTAATATTAAACATAAAAACCACATGGGAAATATAGAAATTCAAATAGAAGTAACATAAACCTGTCATAAATTGTAAACAAAAAACTATTTGTGGGACAGCATGGATGACAAAATGGTCTACTGTGTAAATTTTAGAATGAGGCAGACAAAAGTTGGAAGGCCGGTTAATTTTCCCCTCCTTCTCCTGCTTCAGCTTCATCTCCTTGGGTATCCGATGTCCACAATGTCAAGTTGTCTCTTAGCAATTGCATTGTTAGCGTGCTGTCTTTGTATGACTCTTCACTTAATGTATCAAGTTCAGCAATGGCTTCATCAAAAGCTGTTTTTGCAAGAGAGCAGGCTTTCTCTGGGGAGTTCAGAATCTCGTAATAGAACACAGAGAAGTTAAGGGCCAGACCCAATCTGATAGGATGTGTTGGTTGCATTTCCTTTTTGCTGATTTCAAAAGCTTCTTGGTATGCTTGTTGTGACTGATCCACAATCCCTTTCTTGTCATCACCAGCAGCAACCTCAGCCAAGTAACGGTAGTAGTCTCCCTTCATTTTCAAATAGAAGACTTTGCTCTCTGCTTGTGAAGCATTGGGGATCAAGAACTTTTCCAAAAGAGACAGTACATCATTGCAGATATCTCTTAGCTCGGTCTCAATTTTCTCTCTGTATTCTCGAGCCATCTGCTGTTTTTTCTCAGCATCTTCCGTCTTTTGCTCAATACTTGAGACGACCCTCCAAGATGACCTACGGGCTCCTACAACATTCTTATAAGCAACTGAGAGAAGATTCCTCTCCTCATTGGATAATTCAGCTCCTTGCTCAGTTACAGACTTCATGCAGGCTGCCATGTCATCATATCGTTCAGCCTGCTCGGCCAGTTTGGCCTTCTGAACCAGCTCATTTTTATCCATGACTGGATGTTCTGTGTCCGGAGTGGGTGGCGGCGGGCGGACGGACGGGGGCTCAGCAGTCTCTGGGCAGCGGCAGCGGCGAGGCTGAGACTCTGTCCCTGGATCTCGCTGCTCACAGGCTGTAGTTTTCTCTTATGGTTGTGTTCTTTCCTGGCTTTGGTATTAAGGTGATACTGCCTTCATAGAATAAGTTAGGAGGAGTCCCTCCCTCCTACTAAATGTTATGGAATAGTTTCTACAGGATAGGTTCTTCTTTGTAGGTGAGGTAGAATTCAGCTGTGAATCCATCTAGTCTGGGGATTTTGTTTGTTGGGAGATATTTTATTACTGCTTCAATCACATAGCTTGTTATTCATCTGTTTAGGATTTCTATGGCTTCCTGATTCAGGCTTTTGAGGTCATGTGTTTCCTGGAATTTATCCATTCCCTCTAGGTTTTCTACTTTGTGTAGAGGTTTTCATAGTATCATGGATGGTATTTTGTATTTCTGCAGTTATCCAGTATAATGTTTCCTTTTCCTCTTTAAATTTCTCTAAAAAAAGTATTACCAACAACATAAATGGCTTTTAAATGTTTGAATAAAACTTGTAAATGTTCCAGAACAATTGGAAATGTTTCATTGATCATTAAGTTTGCTTTCCACAGTTTCAGCTTGTATAGTCATTCTCAAGGTTCTGAATGGCCATTCAAAGTGAGGAGTGCCTATGCTAGCACAGACAAATTGGAAATTTAAATGTATTAATAAAAGTATTGCAATTTATAGTATTCAAAAAAACATGATCTATGAGGTTTGTAATTGGAAATCACCACAAAAGCTTGATAAGAGAAATCAAAGAAGTCCTAAATAGAAGAAGATGTACAAAGTGTTTGTATATTACAAGACTCAGAACTGTTGTTAGAGTATGAATTCTATGCTAATTTGTCCACAGATACGTAGTAATCCTAATCAAAATTCCAGTGGGCTTTTGTATTTTGGTAGAAAATGTCAAGCTGTTCCTAAAAGTTTTATGGAAAACTAAAGAAAATACCATGAATAAAATAATGTTTCAAAAGATAAACAGTGTTGGAGATCTCTTGATTTCTGTTTTTTAGAGTTGCTAGGCAGCCATAGTCATCAAGATTGTGTGGGAAGATGATGTGAGTACACAGGGAGAAGACAGCCATCCAAAAGCCCAGGGGAGAGGCCTGGGGAGAAACCAACCCCTTGATCTTGTACTTCTAGCCTCTAGATGGGAGAAAATAAATTTCTTTTGTGTGTGGGGTTTTTTTTTTTTTTTTAAAGATAGTGTGGTACAGGTGAGAGAAAACCTTGATATTTTGGGCTTCATCAAACTGACAACTTTTCATCTTTGAAAATCACTTCCAAGGAAATGAAGGGACAATACTCAGACTGGGAAAAAATGTTTTGAAAACTCTTATCTAATATGATTTGCATACAAAATTTATAAAGAGCTTTCAAAACTAAATAATAAGGTAACAAACACCTAATTAGAAAAGAGTAAAGGATTTGCCTAGAAACTTTACAAAGGAAGATATGCCAATCACAAATAAGCACGTGAAAAGATGCTCACCATCATTAATCATTTGGGAAATGCAAAATAAAATCGGAAGATGCCACCCGTCAGAATGGCCAAAAAGAAAAGCTGGCAATGTCAAGTGCTGGAAATAGAACAAATGGAACTGCCTCACATGGTCAGTGAAAATATAAAATGGTCTACATACTTTGAAAAGCAATTAGACAATTTTGCTTAAAGTTAAACATACACTTATCGTACAACCCAGCAATCCCACTCCAAGGTATTTACCCAAGAGAAATGAAACCCTGTTTCCCACAGAAACCTGTAAGCAAAACTTTATTGTGGCTTTATTTTTAATTGCTAAAACCTGCAAACATCCCACTTGCCCAGTAACTGGGGGAGAGATAAACAAACTGGCATATATACCTACAATGAAACACTACGGACACTACCTGACAATAAAACAGGTCTAAGTACTGATAACATACATGCAACAGAATGGATGAATCTTAAACACATTATGCTAAGTGAAAGACGCCATACTCAAAAGACTACATATGAGGCCATTTATTTGACTTGATGAAAAAGGGAAAACAATATATAGAAAAAAATCAGTGGTTTTCACAGGCTGTGGGTCGGGGAGGAGATTAACTTTAAAAGATATAAAGGGAACATTTTGGAGGTTTGGACATGTTCTATATCTTGACTCTTGGATTGATTACATGACTACATGCTTTTGTCAATATGCATGGAATAATGTACCAAAAAACAGGAGAATGTCATACTATGCATATTATAATTCCATAAACTTCTTTTTTTTAAAGGAAGACATTTCCAGGAAATTTTCTCTTATGGCTATGCAGGATTAAGATCCTTGGATGGATTCTTTATCAATAAAAAAAAAAATGTGGGTCAGAAAATTAAGGGAGTGTATACATAATCATGCTGTCCCAAGATGAAATCTCAAAACTCTGCACCATGATTATTATTTGATTACCTGTATTTCTCCCAACTGTGTCCCGAATCAGGAAGAACCGTCCCATTTCTGGGTATAATTCCTGCCACAGTCTTCAGGTCTGATGAACTGCAACCCCTTTATTCCTGATTCTGACCTAGTTTGCCTCCGATTGAGATAATGTGCTTTTCTGACTCTCTGCCACTCTTATCGCTAACCCTACTCAAACCCTCCTCAAACTCACTCAGTGAAATAAAATGGGGGAATCCACAGCTGCACAGAAGGTGGCTGTCAGTTTCTGTCCTTTCTCCTGATTCTCCTGTGATATGTTGACTAGGAGTCCCTGGGCTTCATCTGTAGACTCATTCGTTCACCAAACACTTGTTGAACACCTTCTGTGTGCAGTGGATTCTATCCTCATTTCCTCTCTGTCTTCACTGCCTAATTCAGAACCCGACGTACGATGTCCATTTAACAAACTCTCCACAGCACATGTGCTTGTTCTAAGCCCCGGGCCTGGCACCAGGAAGACAGATAAATTCCAAAAGAACATCTTTGTCATCTCCAGCTGCACATGCCCTCTGTGGTGGACGCAAAAATGTATCAACCATGTTTTTTATTTTCTGTATTCTGATGCCTTGGCATCTGAGGCCTTGTAGATCCTGGAGAGACTGCTCCTCCCAGGGTAAGACAATTGCTAGAGATAGTAAACAACTTACCCTGGAGGGCTCTTTTCAAACGCAAACAAATCAATCCAGAGACAATGTCTCCAACCACCTCCTTTACAGGGCTCTAACACTCTGGGTCACTATCCAAGTGCCCTAATAACCACAGGGCCAGGTACCTGACAACTAGGGACAACCCTATACCCTAAGGCTGCTGAAAGTACTCACACTAGCCAATCCTGAATTGGTTACTCTGCCTCCCCAGTTCCTTCTCACAGAGGCAGAGGACCACAACAAAAGCTCTTGCTTGCATTTTCCTATCTCCCTCCACCTCCTGTCCAAGCCTGCTGTTTCTCCACGTGATTCCCCATGGCTGGGCATCCTCTCTTCTCTTGGTAAGTGTGACTAACAAGCTACCTTTTCAAGGAGGTAATTTCCTTATCTGTTTAAAATTTTCTATTAATCCAGTCTATTTTAAAAACACTCTCAGATTCTCCTTTAGGATGTATTCCTCTATCTGCTGGGAGGGCTGTCAGGAGACAGCCTTCAGCTATCACCCTCCTTGGAGATCACCTCAGGTCCAGAGAGCCACCTTGTTTTTCCAGAGTGGCCTACATTCAGTGACTGATAGAGGCAGGAATACAAAATCTCAGACATTTTTAATCAATGTAAGAAAACCTGAAGGGTCATTTTTAGCTTCAGAATTCCCTGTGGAGTTGGCTGAAGCTAATGAGCCTGCATAGTAGCTCATTTTCTTCCTTCGTCAGGTTCCATTTTCTACCTCTACTCTCCACAGGTGTATGTCCCATATCAACTCTAAATTAAACATCCTGTGCAATAAATACTATCACAGAGACTGTTTCCTGTAGAACAAAACTGCAACAGTTGTCACCAGGCAGCATCAAGAAGGCAAAATGGGGTTATGAAGCTGGAGCTCTTACCTTCAGCTGAGTTTCATAACCCATCACTAATGGTGAGTGAAGTGCAGAGAGCTTCTAAGCAGGATTGAGTACAGTTGTTAAATTACAGAGGTAGATAGTTGGAATGGGAATTTGCTTCAGATACTGGAAAAGTATGGTAGAGGTTATAATGATTAAATAAGATTGCATGGCTATTAGTAAGGTCAACTGACGCTCTAGAAAAAGACAAGAAAGCTGAGAGAAATTATTATGCAATTGAAAGCCAATTGTGATAGCCCTGGGGCTTCCTTGGGATTATATAGGGACTTTCATCTCCTGGCACAGGATAGCAGAGAAAGCCAAAAACCAGGCTTGTGAATTAATAATCAGAAAAATGAGGCTCCAAAGAAGGTTAAATTTCCAACCGAGTCAGGTCTGCTTCTCCAGGTTCAAGGCCCTCCATGGGGTAATTTGGGATGAGACCTCTGAAAAATTAATTACCCTAATTCTGATGAACCCTCTCAATTGAAGAAGTGAGCCATTAATACTTGTTATTATGAGCTAGTATTCCTTCTCTCTTGAAGAAAATGCAGAGATTTCTCCCTCAAGTCAATATATAATCCCTTCAGAATGTACCCCCAAACATCTCCTTGCCATAAACATAACTAGGGTTAAATTACATAAGAGAAGAAATTACAGATCTAGGTCCAAAGATAGAAATGGAGATGAGAAGAAAGCCTAACACCATAGAAAGCAGGTGTCAGCATCTAACCATTAGCAGTCAGGTGGATTCAATTACTGAAATGAGCCCCAAGGGAACCTGACCACAGCGTGCTTTGGAGATCATCAAGAAGAATACAATATAACTAGGGGGAAAATACAATGTCACTAGAGTACTACTCCATATGTGCCATCAGAAGAAATCAAGACTGACAACAAGTAGACTGAAGAGAGTCGCCTCCAAAAACACTCAGGATCCCATGTCCAATTTCTTACACCTGAATCAACATTTGGACCTGGAACTTTTGGACTGAAAAGGAGTTTGGGTACCCAAGAGGAAGGTCTCCTCTTCACGACAG